GTATGTATGTATGTATGTATGTATGTATGTATGTATGTATGTATGTATGTATGTATGTATGTATGTATGTATGTATGTATGTATTTCAGTCAAGTTATAAATATGATATGCACATGTTATTAGTTGCTGTGTTTTTGTTTTCTCTATTTTTACAGGTGTGCAGACAGATGTCGGGTGTGTTGTCTTGTGTTTTCTTGGTTTATCTTCCCCATTACATTTCTCCTCTTTCTTCTCTTTTTCTCTTCTCTTTTATAAAAAAGGTCACTGGTGATGAAGAAACTAAAATTCAGTTCTGTTTTCTACTGAAGTGGCAAAAAAAGTAGAAGGCAAAATCGCAATGAAACTGAGACGTATTTCACAGGCTACCAGCTACACTTTAAACCTGTGTACCTCCACCTAATGGTGAAATGCCATCATTTTGCAGGTAAAACAATTAATTGGCATTATGGGAGGTATCAGTGAAAGCTTTAAAGCAACACATGCTTATTTTAAAGACCCTAATACATTGATGAAGCTCTCTTGGGCCACATAAAATGCAAAAGTGGGCCACATTTGGCCAAGTGATCCAAAACTTTGGTTTTGAATGCACCAGGACATTATTTGAAACAAAGAAACAGCTGAGAATTGACGTTAGGAGTAACCGAATTTAAAAGATACAAAAAAGAAAGACTATAAAGGCCTGCTAGATGCAAACAAAGACATATTATCCAGCTGTTTTGAAAAGAAAAATCCAATCTGAGTGCTCTTGACCATTTGTTGGCAAGAGAGCCAGAGTGCGTCAGAGCCTTTGTTGCTGCTCTGCAGAGCCGTTTTTCTGGTTGGCATCCACTTTCCCTGCACGTCTGAGTGTTCATTCACTGCCGAAAGAGAGTAGAAGCAATTATGTTTTCCACCCTAACAAACCAGATTCAGTTCAAAAGGTGACGAGCAAATGTTTTTTACTTGAGTTTCATCAAAGTCCCTTTGTTATTGAGCAAGTTAAAACTACCTAATCAAAAAAAGAGAAAAAAAAGGGTTGACTACAAAGATGATATAGGTTTACTGTTGGCKGTACCAAGCAACCAAAAGGTAGCAGTCAATATAAAAAATCTACTTTCAGGTGGATGATTGAGATGGATACTTACTGTAATGTTTGATGGGTTGAACTGAAACRGGAAGTGTGAGTGACCTTAAACAGCTGAACATGCACCTCTCCCTCCGCCTGCTGTCAACAGGAGTGTGTGTGATGCTTTCTCTCCTTCCTCAGGAAGAGCAAGAATGGATGGAATGTTGCTTTCCTGCACACACACACACACACACACACACACAC